CAAATAAGCAGAAACCGGTAACCAACACGGGATCATGTCACTGGGACAAATAAATACCATAATATGGTGTGCTTGGGGTTACTCGAAAAATGGGTAATAATGGAGGTAATATGATTAGCGGCCAAAATAAACGATGCCCTTAAGATCTGTCGTAGAAATGAACAACTTCTCGATCCCTCCGCTTTGGTGTAGTAAGATTACGACACAGTTCCGTAGATTGGGTTTTACGAGGACGAATAATTGTCTTGCGCGCTCGCCAACAGTGCGGGTCATTTCTCGTATACGATGATCAGATACTACGATATTTCCAATCATCTGATCACAGTCTCGAATCATATCGGTATGGTAACCGATCTATCACAGGTTCTTCTCGATTTCGATAATTTGTGCCCGAGATTAAACAGTATCAGTTTCCTCGACAGACGTCTAATTTGTGCGTGCCACATGAGTAAGAAATAATCCAGAATAATAGAAAAGCTGCTATAAAACAATACTTCTTGAAGATGCTCGCGCACCTCGACCGTTACACCTTGCTGCATCCTCCACAACGTTACAAATGTGATATGGAAGGTTATATTTATACTTAGATAACTGGAGTGACCTGAGTTACACATGTCGTTGCCCGACGCGACACTTCTATTTATTTTTCTTTCAAGTTTAACCAAGAGAAAATAATTCAATGTGGTTCATGCAGCTAAATCTGTGAATTCCATGTTGCACTATCGGATAAGCTTCATTCAGATTTTCCGTGATACGAGTCAGGAAAATATTTTTTTAAAAAAATACGTAGCATATGTACCATGACCTGATGTGGAAGGCAACTACGAAGGTATCCCGTGCTGCTGTTGTTGTGCAGGTAGACACTGCGTGAAGATCTTTATTGAATAGGGTATTTGTCTCATTTGCAGATAAGATATCGTATAGGCAAAAAATCAGTTAGAAATATTGTCTAGCTCGAAAGCTGGGCTAGGCCTTTAAGCTCTTAGATGCAAGCTCAAAATTTTGCGAGAGGGAATGTTGAGTGGTGTTCTTCCAGTGAAAATCGCAGGCCTGTTTTAGGCAAACAGAGAAAGTTTGCAACACAATAGGATATCTATTCTCCCTCATAGCATGAAACAACAGGTTGTTGTCGGTTTTTGAGGAATACCCCAAAGTGAAGCTTTTCTGCAAATCTCAATGATATGCACTCGTTCAATTCTTGGGCTGTAAAATTCGGCAATGAGTTTCTTCTGTTTCCCTGATTCTCTCGCATTGTTGATAAAAAATGATGGTTGGCTTTTGACTTGGAGGGATCTTGCTTGCCAGATATTTGAAGACTTTGCTGGCAACATCCTGAAGCCCTACCGGAACATGGCTTCCAATATAGTCATAGCTGTGTAGGCTAGTAGAGCTAATGACGGATATCTAAATGATTTTGATGAGGGCCTCTTCTCTTCCTTTTTCACGATTACTAGAACTTTTATTTACTTTTATGATTAGAGCTAATTTTAACATGGAGAAGATGCTGAGCCGACCAGGTTGCGAAAAGCAATATATTTTTTAAAGAGATGTGATCGATTAATCTATAGATGTTACAGTATGACTTCATTCGTAGAGATGATTTTACTGCAAAAAAAAAAACATATTTTCAAAGAGTTAGAAGGAGAAATATGAACAGTCCCACAAAAGATTTCGATTTCCATTGCGACGCCCTAGTAGAAATTCTCCAGTCCGTATACCTGTTCCGACTCCTTTTCCCTGCTTTGAATCGGTCCGTAGCAAAATTACAGAAAAAATTCGATTACAAACGAGTTCTCTCGAGACTTTTAAAGACGTATCGAGCTTATTTCTAGTGGTTAGCAATAACAGAGAGTACATGAGACTGGGCACGGGTAAAGTCGAAACCTAATGCCATCTGCGCTGATTGATGAGGTGCTGTTATCGAAGACGGCAAGGTTTAGAGAACGGTTCAGGACAAGATCAATAAAGCTAGTAGTAACGATAGTGGAAATCATTGAACCGTTTTTTAATCGCTAAAATTTCTCTTATCTCGTCTTAGTGAGAATTTTCCAAAGAAGGGGATTGATCTACACCACTCAAGACGAAAATTGAAATTGGATTCCGCCGTTTTATAAACATAAAAATTATACATTGATTAGTGCACCTCCTGGATTCAAAAGCGAGTGAGCGGTTACGCACCTCCACTCGCTCCCAAATGAGTCAAACAGCTCTGCCCCATTTCCCTCGATCGGTGAACTCTCGAATCGTCGTAGTCACTTACCATCAAAACAACATACGAATTACTTCAACATCAACCAGTTCGCCACTAGGTCAACGAACGGAACGAACGGAAATAATGAGCTGTATGGCAGTTTCCAAACCTGTATCATGTTCCTGTCACATGTTAAAATATTGCCATTAGTTAGAGCAGTTGAGTAAATTTTATCTGAGTATTGATTTTCATGATATTCGCATGCTCATATTTCAATAAATTTTTGATTAACAGCTCAGGGCACTTAAT